AAAGTTTAAGAAATATTTTTTATTTAAAAGCAATTTTTTTTAACAAGATTTACTTTTTTTGTGTCAACTTTGTTTTATTTTTTAATTAAAAAAGAATCTTCTCCTGAATTTTAAAAACAAAGGAGATAAAACTGAGTCTTTTAGAATAAAATCTCATTTTTTAAAAAATTTCTTTTAATGGTTTGGTGGGTATGAGTTTGAAAAGAATCTTAACAAAAAATCCGTTTTTTAGCAAATAAGTTTTGTTAAAGTAAATTTGACTTTATTTTTAAATAAAAGATTTTTTTCTTTTAAATAATCTTGTTAATTTCGAAATAAATAAATAAAAAAGTTATTTATTTTTTGTTTTAATTTAACAAAATTCGTAGGTTTTTTTAGTTTAAAAAAAATAAATTAAAACTTTTGTTTATTTAAAAGAATACAATGTTTATATTTTAGGATGTTGGAATAGTGGTTAGAGGTTTGTTTTTTTAATGTACATAACCCAAGTTCAAGTCTTTGCATGCCTCATTCTATCATTGTTTTTACTAAATAATTATTTTAAATAAAAAATTTCCTTTAGAGTTTTTTTTTTAACAAAATTCAAAAATTCAAAATTTGTATTTTAAAAATGAACATAACTTATATTCCAAGGTTGTGGCACGTAAGATGTTGGAGAGTCATCTTGACAAAATGTGGTACCGTTTCCGAACGGGTGTCGTAGGGTGCTAACACCTTCCTACACTCAATCGACTCCCGAACCAACAATYTGTTTTCGCATACATTGTCTTTATTTTTAGGTGACCAATCACACTTTGTAGATGATTGGTGGCGACTCCAAACCCTTATCTTGAAAGAGACCTTTCAGGGGATGATGTCGGTCGCTCCGCGTCGCGATGACGTTGAATATATATTGATGGATAAAAATTACCCTCTTCATGCCTAATTACCTTTCTTGACTATTGGATTATAAATATGTAAATTATATTTCTATTTTACTCATTCATAATATGCATATACATTTTTACAAAAATATATAATACACTCATTTTCAATTATGGGGTGTTTAATAAACATAAATTTATATAATATATTCATTTTCTCTCGTTGTTTAAGTCACGTGCAACGCACGTATAAAGACTCGTGTATATAAAAGTACCCATGTGGAAGAAACTTTTTATAGATGATATTAACCTTGATTTTTTTAGTAATACCCAAGTTATCCTTCTTTTGTCTCTCTCCCACCCCATCTCTCCCATTATTAATTATTTTAGTCTTTTATGTTGGTAGCTTCCATCTCTCATTTAGTTTAACTTTTCATAATAGATATGCCATATAAACCTTCAAAAAATTACACCAAATGTAAAAAATTGAAATATGAAAAAAGTTGTTATCAATAAGAGAAATTAATAATTTTCCCTAAATAATGATTAATCTATATCTATAATCTATGATCTGTAGTATATAAAAGTTTGCATTAGGAGGAATTTTTATTTTTATTTTTTTGCTATTTTTGCCTTTCATTTTTAACCCTTTTCAATATAGATTTGGAGATAAAATAGCCCTCTTACATGCTAGTGTTGAATTTCTTATAATTATCATGATTAAATATTTATTTGATATGCCCCATTTTGTCCCTTTTATTTTTTGTTAATTTTCTTTGGTACTTTTTATAAGGAGTTAATGTTTTTTATTTTAAACTCCAAGTAAAATCGTGCTTAATATTCTAATAATAGCCTGTTGTAGTTACACGTGGATGTTTGGAAGTTGAAAGGGTAAATTAATCGCACATAATTACAAATTTGAACATAGGTCATATTCCCCAATCCTTTTATCTTCCTCTATACTTCCCTATATAAATATTTTTCCTCTCTTTTCTCATGGCAGCAAAAGAATTAAGAGGTTGTGGATGAAACAAAGAAGGAAAACTTTTCCAGTTGGTGTGAAAGCGTAGAGATTATTTTTCTTCTTTGGCAAGGACAACTACAATGTACGTATGGGTGATCGAGAGAAGAATTGATAGTGAAGAGAGATGAACTAAATAAATTAATCCCGAATTGCATCAATGTGAGATTAGTGGAAAGTTGATGGTAACAGTTAGCTTTCTTGGAATTTATCATTATTCAAATTGAAACAAATTGTAGACTGCATTGTGTTGAGATGATAATACAATAGAACCAAGATAAGGCAAATTTCGATCGTTCTCATGATTGAATAATGAGGATAATTATGAGTTTTATTTTTATTTATTTATTTTTAGAAAGTAAAATTTTTGATTTACGTGTTATGTTCGAAACTTTTTGTATAGAATTATGGCAAAAAATAAATTTTTGATCCCCATCAACTTTATCAAATTGAACTAGAGAGAGTTTTTTTAGGGTTTCCTTCTTCTTCTCATTATTGCCTTTCTTCTTCACCAACGAATAAATAAATTTAGGGATTTAACGTTAAAAAATTAACAAACTTAAAAGGTAATATAATGATAATAATTAAGAAAAACGAATAGCAAATTAAGAACATTATATGTTGATAATATAAAATGTGATCAAGAACTTTGGAGAAAGAAGAGAAAAAAGGCGCAAAAGAGAACTTTTAGGTCAATTTTATCTTTCTATTTTAAAAATTTTCACTATTATTAGGATAATTGATCTCTAAATACAAATATCTCTCTAATCCATCGTCTCCATCTCATTCAAGTTCCTCCAACTAATTAATTAAAAAAATTATAATTGTCTTTATTTTCAAATATATTAATTAAAAAAATTATAATTGTTTTTAATTATAACTAATAATAAAATTTCATAAAGCTAGAATGTAAAGAATTAAAGTGTGTAGAGTTTTGTTTCTTTAAATTAATTAAGAAAAAGTTATGTTTCCAGGAAAAACATTAAAAAAAAGTTATGGTTTATTTATAATTATAATTAATAAGTTGATAAGTTTCGGTAATTCTTTCTCCTACAATTATATAAATAATCATTATTATATTTTATTTCTTTCAATGTTTTGTCCAAAACTTTGAGTTTTTCTTTTCTCATTTGTATGGTGGTTTTTCTTTTTTCATTCGCACGGTTTCTTATATATTGCATTTTTTTTTTTAAATTTTAGTTAGATTGTTTTTCAATTTTTAGTTTTTCTTTTAATTATAATGCAACATGAATAATTCTACTTTTACAGAAGATTTGATTACATACGACAGATAATTTATTCAAAAAATTTAAAAATGACATACTTATTTTTTTTCTTTTTAATTTCTCTTTTTTAATATCTTTATTTTCTTTTAGAAATTGTTATTTTTAGGAAAAAAAAAATTATGAAAATTTAAGGATGTGTGTTAAATTGTTTATTCTTGCTTGTTTTATTTCACTCATGGAAAATTTTGAAGCAACAAGCTTCTCAATTTTTTAGTCACCATTTGCCAACCTACGAGTTGTCCACTTTGTCTTCTCAGGTATTTTTCATTCCGACTTATTTCGATCATTATCCTTCCGACTTATTTCGATTATAATTTCTCCGTTTGAGCTAGGGGTGTAATCAAATGAACCGAACCGACGAACCGAATTGAACCGCGTCGGTTCGGTTCGGTTTTGACCCGACAACCAATAACCCTAAATCTTATATTCTCTCTTGCTCTCTGCTCTCTCTTGATAAGCCACCGCTACCTGAAGGAAGGAAGGAACGAAGAAACGAAGGAATGAAGGAATGACGATTCAGGCGACACGAGACGGCATCATGCGGCGGCGATCTCCACGGCAGCAGACGACGATGACTTCCACGGCAGCTGTTGATAGCGACCTGAATAGCAGAAAAGCGGTGCGGTAGAAATTAAGTAAACAGCAGCAGAATCCCAAGCGGTGGCCCCAAACAGCAACAAGCGGCACCGTCCCAACGGCAGCACACGGTGGCGACCACAAACGGCAGCAACCGACGATGCGGCAGCAACATTAAATGGCAGTAATCGACACCGGCAGCACGATGATAACGTACAACTAAATCTTCTCTCTCTCACAAAGGGAATTTCAATTCTCTCCCCATTTGAAAAAGGAAATTTCAATTATCCCCCAATCAGAATAAGGAATTCTCAAATTTCCTCTCAATTCAATTTAATTTGATTGGAAGAAGGAAAGATCTATGGGTTGAAGATGAGAAATTTCTAGGTTCAATTAAAATTTCAAGATCAAAGATCTTTTAATTTTCTATTCAACTTTAAGACGGAAACTAGAAAATTTCGTGGGTCTCTCTCCAATTTCAAATCTCTCCTCTCCAATAATTCCTCCAATTTTGAAGAAAATATCTGGAAAATTACAAATAAATTCGCAGACTCCCTCTCTCTAAAAAAAAATCGAAACCCGACTCGACTCGATCTGGACCCGATCCGGATGAAACCAAAAAATTTCGAGTTGATTTCAGTTTTACCGGAAACCGAGCCGACCTGATGAAACTACACCTATAGTTTGAGCTCCGATGATCCAATAATCGTTTATTATTGTTATATAAAAGCTTATTCATAGCTAAGAGCATCATGAATAATCCATATCTGAATGTAGGTCCCACTTATTGAAATGAGAAGAATCCAAAACATGATCTAAATTTATTATTGTTATAGAATCGATAACTTGCAATAAAATAAATACAAATAGAGATAAATGTCAAAGGAAAAGATCTACAATACAACCCCTCCCTCTTTCGCGCTTCAGCACTCATGCATTAAAGAAAAGAAAAACCCCCTCCATCCCATCGATTTTGTACTATTCCAAGAAAAAAAAAACTCCAAAAGAACAAAGGAAGAGAGAATAATATAGAATAAATTTCTCAAATTAAATTAACAAGTACAGAAAGAAGAATAGAAGAAGAGAAATTAAAAAAATAACAAAAAATAGCAGTGTGAATGTGAAAATGATAATGGAAGTGACGAGAGAATTGGAAAGTTACGTAAATAGGAGAGAGAAATATGATTTCATGAGTGAGTTGAAAACCCAATCTTTTCCACGAGATTTTTTGTCTTTCCATTTAGCCTATTTCCATCTTGACATCTTGAACCAAACGGCTCTGGAGATTAAAAACAAAAATAAACCAAAAAAATAATAATATCAGCTTCTTCTATCTAATCCAGTGGCTGACACTGAACACGCCAAATTCTCACTCCAATGGCTTCTCTTCATCTTCTTCTTCTTCGACCTCTCACATCTCTCTCTCCCCATTCTTCTGCCCCTTTCTTTTCCCAATTTTCTCACCCCATTAGTTTCAGATCCTCCATTACCAACAAGCCCCTTCCATGCAAACCCCTCAATCTTTCATTTGCCCTCGCCGAATCGGACTCCCCCAAGTCCTTGGACCCCGAACCCCAGCTCCTCCTTCAACAACTAGCCGTAAGTATGGCCTTCTACTCGATTTCGCCCGCTGAAATTCCTGAAACTCTCTGTCTATTGTTTATGTGTGGTGTGATTTTGATTTTGTGTGCAGGACTGTTTTGATCTCGCGCGAGATTACTTCGAGAAGCTTCCCCGTGATCTTCGTCTTGATGTGAGAAGAACTTTTGATTTCAATGTGTTTTCTTTTACTGTTGTTGTGTGATTTGGGTGCTCTGTTTTTGATGTTCTTACTTCGTTTTCGGGATTGAGAGTGAATTTCGATAATGTTATTTGATGTGTGAAGCTCAACGATGCTGCTTTTGATCTTTCGAATGGACCCGTTGTTGATGAGGTACTTTTTCTGTGCTGCTCGCTTGTATCTTGCTCGTTGAGGCCTGTTCTTAACCATGTTGTTTTCCTTATCTGATTTTAACAAATGATGTTTATTAATGATTTCTTTACTTTGTATTTAGAGCTCTAACCAAATTTTGAGAACTAAGCTGCTCGTAAACTACAAAACTTGTCCGAATTCAGTCGGTCACAATTCTTAAATAATATTATTGTGTGTGATGTAAGCACTAAACTGACGAAGTTAATGACAGTAATCTATTAGACACGAAAATTTAGAAACATATAAAAACTTTTTAAGGCATAGTGATTTTATACACAAAAGCTTGAAAGTTGCAACAAAGGATGAATCCTTTTTCCTTCTCGCAAACTGCGGGAGCGCACAGGAGCGAAGCCGCTTTACGAGTTTACAAAGGACTTTTTTTTTCTGCTGAGCCATATCTTGCTTTGTGGGACCAAGTGTGGCTGCCCTTGCTCCCATCAAGTTGCTGGTCGGAATCTATTAGAAAATTTTTAAAATACAAATTCTAATTACACAACCTTGAACGTTTATGGACGAAACTTGTAATTGAACCGAACAAAAAAAAATTATTAGGGGAAAAGGCCATTGTTAACTAATTAACAGCCATAATTAGTTGGCACTCTCTCTGGTGCACATGCTTATTTTGAGTGTTGATTTCTCAACTATTTCTTGTTGTAGAACTTTCATGTTAGGATGAACTTTTTGATTTTCGAATAGGAATAAATGTGAATTATCTGCTATAAACAGAACTTGTGTTGTACTGAAAATGTTGGATTTCTGATTCAGTGTGGCCAAGAGATGGGAGAAATATTGTTAAATCTTTCTCGGGCATGGGAAGTAGCCGACACCTCTACTTCACATGCCTTAGTAAGCAAGTTCCCGTCGTTGGTGCAATCTTTGACAGACAGCAACAAGTCAGGCAAGAATAGGACTCAAGGAAATTGATGCTCTAAGTATTTAGTGGAGAAATAAAATGTGACTTTTGTTTGGTGTTTTTATTTAGGATTTGGCAAGCGTTTGATATCTGCAGGAAGAAGGTTCCAGTCGATGGGACAGTACGGTCAGGGCGAAGTACAGAAGGTAATTTATAGATTAGAAAGTATCTTTGCATGATCAAAGTTTTTTTTGGTTGTAAGAAGTTTTAAGGGGTTGATGAGGTAGCCCTGAAGAACAGCCTTGAGATTGCATAGAGATTGTGCTCACTATCTATTTATGGTTTTGTTAGTCTAGGAAACACGGTTAGTATAGGTTGCATTGAATAACGAGTGCGTGTCCAACACGTGTCGATACTCTGATACTCTTATACTTTTCGAAAACTTGTGATCATTGTGGTGTGGAAGAGCCTCATGGAGGTGGATTTGGGGTCTTGAAACGGCGTGGGAGAGCGGCGTTTCATGGGTGCGGCGGCACTGGTGGCGGAGCGAGGTTGACGGAAGCCGCAGGAAGCACAGTGATGTTGGCCTCCGCCGCTGGAGTTGAGGCACAGCATCGAGAAATGGGGTTCCAACACAATTCTTTAACCAGATTGCTCCTCATAATGATGGAACTGGAAGGGAACAGAGAAAAATGGCGGCCACAGAGGAGAAGGCAGAGAGGGAGAGCTACGAACGTTTGAGGAGACATTTTCTAAATTTTCTTCTTTTATAGAAAATGTGTATTTAGTAAATGTGTCTTTGCCATGTCCGTCTCTTAGATTTTTAGAAAATAATGTGTCGCCATGTCTATGTCATGTCGTATCAATATCTCGTGTTCATATGTTGACACTTTTATGCTATATCTTCCTTCTCGATCTTTTAGTTTTGTTTTGGGAAGGGGACTCCTCAACCTATTCTTAGGCTGTTCTTTTGTTTCCTTGATCAATGAAAATATCTTCCTTCTCGATAGAAATATCAAGACTTTGATGAATAATTTACACTATGCTCTACACTACACTAGGTTCTACCCTGAAATTGACTTCCACACAAATTTTATAGTTCACCTCAATACAATAAAAATTTTATCATTCAAGTTTTTTCCAATTTTCTTGAGAGTTTTCACAATTATAGATTGCCAAAGTAATGATTACAACTGGAAAGCTTCTGTCTGCAACCTCTGCTCCTAACGTAGCTGAGCAGCTGAAGAATGAAGCCAGAATGTTTAAGGTAGGTAGGAACTCTACATTAGATTGAAGGTATCTTTTTCAGATTTGAACCTTATTTAAAGTAATATCACATTACCACTCCATTCTTCAGTTTGGAGAGCTTCAAGTTGAACTGACCGCAGATAAGGCGAATATCGGTGCAGCAATCGGTTTTGTTTTTGGGTAAACATCCCCGTTTAACTAGTTTCTTCAATTTTTTTTATTCATTGATGAAAAGGCAAAAATATACCTATTTATGTTTCTAATGTGTAAAATGCAGAGTAATTTCATGGCAACTGGGTCAGGGTGTCCAGAGCATTCCTGAGAGCTCTCTGCAGTATGCAAATGACAATGCTTTACTTCTTGCAAAGGTACTTTGAACCATTAATTTGAATGCTATGATTTTGACTTCTTAAGTTCAATGCTTCCTTGGCAATTTTTAATTTGACAATTTATATATTACAGTCTTTGAGAGGCGCTCTACTTGCGGTTTCGTACTCATCGGCGGTCTTATCTGCCTTCACCACTGTGGGGTTAATATTACTTGGAAGACAGCTTAAATCAAAGGAAGAGTAAGCCTGTCCTCTTTATTTTTCTCTTAACTCTGTAAATGTACTCAAGAAAATGATTACTGAAAATGGTGTGAGTTTTTGTGTACATGACAATAATCTTACTCAATTTTTGAACAAGAGTGGCTGATATTCTCTTGTTTTACCTGGTATATAACAAATTTAAGTTGTGCAACTACTTGATTGTAAATACTTTCTACCATGTTCATTGTAACAACCTCTGTTTCATTACAATTGGAAATATGTGTATTTAGAGAACATACTGTACAGTTGAGAAGTTAAGAGTGCCATTTGGTTTGTTATGAAATTTTTTTGATAATAGACAAGAACAATCTGATAAAGGAAGTAAGATTACAAACTGGACAAAATAAAGGAGCATTAGTTTATGAAAAGAATTTGATATATTAAGGTAGGTTGAATGTGTCATTTTATTTTGTTTAGTTGTCCAGTTTATGCTGCCATCTGTCTGCTACATTGTATTAAATCTGCCAACATTTGTCCAATGTATATATCGTAACATCATTTAATTAAACTACATAGAAATCTAAAGTTCAAGGACGGAATTAGAGTCTTTTATAATGACTTAGAACTATATAGATGCAACCATCAAATTTCGAGATTAAATACTTCTCGTTGTTCTTATGTCTGCTTGATTCTGCAAGGTCTTGTATGGTACTTTGTCAATTTGCACCGTGATAGTGATTTTTTTTTTGGTAGATAATTTCTTTGTTTAAGCTCTTGTACAAGGTTAAACTTTGAAGTTTGAATAGTAGTGGTAGTATGTTGGTGGCTTTTTTTCTTTTTTTTTTTGGTGAAAGAAACAATTTCATTGATGTATGAAATTACAAAAGCCCATGAAGGGGATTACATGAAGCACTTCCAATTGGATAAAAGGGGAGTGTAGCTATAGTTGTGAAATAAAGGAGAACATTTACACCATGTAACAACTAGAAAGACTATAGCCTCAAAAATTCTATCAAAAGAGGAAGAAAGGTCGTTGAAGGTGCGCTGATTCCTTTCTCTCCGAAGGATCCAAAAGAATGCTCTAATGAAGTTTAGCCAGAGAAGCTTCTTTTCCTTTCTAAACGGGTGACCTGCAAGGGTAGCTTCTAAGAGGAGGGGTGGATCGATTGGTAAAGCAGTGAACCATGCAAAGTTGTTTAGGATGTAGTTCCAAAAAGCACCTGCAAATTGGCAGTCAACGAATAGGTGTTGTTGCGTCTCTAGGTTAGTTTTGCAGATCACACACCATCGGGGAGAGAGAGCCATGTATGACATTCTCCTTTGGAGTTTGTCACAAGTGTTGATTGTTTGGTGGCTAAGCTCCCAAAGAAAAATTTTTACCCTTTTACGGTAAGAGTCTTTCCAGATGCTATCATAAAGGCTTGTAGTATGGGTCGGAGCTGGATGAGTCATGTCTTTGATAAGAGAGCTGGTTGAGAAGATGCCGTTTGTTTCTAATTTCCATAACAGAGTGTCAGGCTCCATAGTCAACTGAGTTGTAGAGAGTTTATGGGAGAGAGTTGCCCATTCCACAATTTCTGCATCCTTTAGGTTCCTTGTTAAGCGCAAATTCCAGCCACCGCCATCAGCCAACCGAAGGTCACGGATGGAGGCCTCTTTTTTCAAGGACAAGGCATATAGAAGAGGTGAATGGTGTTCCAAAGGTTCATTGGTCAGCCAAGGTACTGTCCAGAAGGGAATATTGCTGCCATTACCTATTTTATATGTCAATCGATCAAAAACTAGCTTTTGTGTTTTGAGAATCTCTTTCCAATGCCCTTTTCCAGATGGGTGGGTAGTTGTAATAGGTTTGAGGGACCATGATGAGCGACCATACTTGGCTTCAATCACCCTATGCCATAGAGCCGACCTCTCTTTAATGTACCTCCAAATCCAGTTGGCAAGGAGGGCCTTGTTTTTCTGCATCATATTGGCAAGGCCCAATTCCCCCTTGAGGAGCGGCTGCTGTGTAATATCCCTTTTGACCAAGTGTAAACTTGGGGCTTCCTTAGTACCTTTCCAGAGAAAACTTCTAGAGAGGTTGTCTATTGTGTCTGCTACTTTTGTGGGCATAGTGGAAAGTGAAAGGTAGCAGGGTTTTCAAGGCGCAAGGCGCACCTCAAGGTGACAAGCCTCCTTATCGCCTTCAAGCGAGAGGCGACAAAAAGGCGTTGCCTGAGTGAAGTGAGACACACTTATAAAATAATAAAATAAATATTATCTATAGCAATTTTATATATTAAAAAATACTTTAGGTGAAAATATTTGGTGTAAATAAATTTTAACTTAAATAATTAAGAAAAATTATAAATTATAAATTTAAAAAGAAATTAATAAAATTAGTGATTAAGTAGAATACTAAAATTAAATAAAAAATTAACTTAAATAAAAAAAAAATTATTGCCATCTTTGCCTTTTGCTGGATAAAATTGCATGCAATTAGTGTTTAGGATAAAATTGCATGCAATTAGTGTTGCATGCCTTGAAAACGTAAAAGGGAATAGGAAAAGTCTCGACCAAGCATCAAATCCCCATATCTTTTATTCTATTTTTTAATTCTTCTTCTACTTCTGCTTTTCCAATTCTTCTTTCCTGATTCTTCTTATTCATCTCTAATTCTTCCTTTCCGAGCATCTACGTCGCCTTGAATACACGTTTATAGGTGAAATTAAATATTTTGATTGTCTACGAAGAAGGAGAAGGAAGGCTTGATGGCTTCATATCGTGCAATGAGTGGGGGCAAAGGTGGCAGCAATGGCAGCAAAGGATGAAGTGACGGTGAAGGAGGAAGACTTTCGGGTGTGGGTATTTCGATTTTTGGGTGTGGGTTTTCATCTTTTTGGGGCTTCTTTTGTGGGTTTTTTAAAATTATAACGAAAAAAAAAGAAAAAAAGGAGTCGCCTCGCTTCAAAGAGGCGCTCGCCTCACCTTATGGTGATGGTGCCAAGGCGCACAAAGGCGCTCGCCTTGACGCCGTTCAAGACGCGCCCAGGCCAAAGTGCCTCGCCCCTCGCCTTAGGCGAGTGCCTGGGCGTGCCTTGAAAACACTGAAGGTAGTAAGTAGGGAGGTTTGTTAAGGTAGCTTGGATAAGTGTGTGCCGACCACCTTTTGAAATGAAGGAATTTTTCCATGAGTGCAACCTTTTCTTCACTTTCTCATAGGGTCCCAAAAAGAGAGAGTTCTAGTCCTGCCATGAAGGGGAAGACCAAGGTAGGAAGTAGGCCCAGATCATTTTTTGCAAGAAAACTTAGCTGCTATGGTAGAGAGCTCACTGTCAGCTAGGTCAACTCCCAATATTTCAGACTTCTGTTTGTTGGCATTAAGCCCTGATGCTTCTCTAAATGACCGAATGACATTGAATAAGTTGTTGAGGGAGATATCGTCACAAGAAAAGGATGGTGTCATCAGCAAATTATAGGTGGTGTATGTTCAAAGAGTTGTCTCCAAGATCAAAGCCGCTAATGAGATTGTTCCTAGCTGATAGAGACATGAGGCCGTTAAAGACATCAAGCACTATGATAAAAAGAAAAGGTGACAAGGGGGTCACCTTGTCGGAGGTCTCTGAAAGCAATGATTTTCCCCCTTGGACGACCGTTTATAATGATGGAGAAGTTTGCTGAAGATACACAACCCCGGATCCATCTTCTCCATGTATGACCAGATCCTTTAGCTTCGAGGACAACATCTAGAAAATCCCTGTCAACCTTATCAAAGGCCTTCTCAATATCCAGCTTAATGACCACTCCCTTCTTTTGCTGTCTATCCCAAGCCTCAATAAGCTCATTGGCGATTAGTGATGCATCAAGAATTTGTCTTTCAGCCACAAAGGCTGTTTGTTCATTTGATATGGTGCGAGGCAGCAAGTGTTTTAATCTTTCGGAGAGAACTTTTGCTAGAATCATGTATAAGCAAGAGATGAGGCTAATAGGGCGGTAATCCCCTACTTGTCTAGCATCGATCTTCTTTGGGATGAGACAAACATAGGTTTCATTGAGGCTTGCATTGATGATCCCGTTTCGAAAAAAAAAAAAATCTTGGAACACTCTCAATATGTCATCCTTGAGAATGTTCCAAAACTTTTTGTAGAATTCAGCAGTGAAGCCGTCCAGTCCAGGAGATTTATTTGTCCCTAATCTCTGACAGCTCTCCAGATTTCCTCCTCTATGAAGGGTTTCTCAATGTCGAAACTTTGTTGAGGGGTGATCGGGCTCCAGTCTAGGTTCGGTGGGAGAGTTCTTTGGCCAACCTTCTTGGTGTATAATCTGTCAAAAAAAGAAAGAAATTCTTTTTCAATATCATTTTCTTGTAGGAGGCTCACTGTTAGAGGAGAGGATTTCTATAATGGTATTTTTCCGCCTCTTTGATGCTACTATTCGGTGGAAAAAGGAAGTGTTAATGCCCCCCTTATTTAGCCAATTGGATTTGCACCGTTGTCTCTAAAGGGTCTCCCCCTTTGCCACCATCTCAAAGATCTGCGCTATAATGGATTTTCGTTGAATATGCTGCACTTTGTTCATACGACCTTCCTCTTCTAAGTCATCTAAGATAGCTAGCTCAGAGATGAGCGGGCTTTTTTGCTTTTTTGTTGTGTGATGCTACCAAAGGTTGATTTAGTCCAAGTTTTGATCACCATCTTCAGACCTTTAAGCTTCTGGATGAAACCATGGCCTGGCCAGTTTTTCCACCATTACTCGATTATAGGAGAGAACGAATGATGTTGCATTCATGCATTTTCAAACCTGAAAGGAATGGGGCCCCATTTTGTCATGCCAAAAGACGGGTGTATGGGATAGTGATCTGATGTAGGGCGGTTTAATCGCTTGACAGATGCATTCTGAAATTTCAAGAGGAAATTAGCCAAAAATCTATCAATTAGAGTGAGGGTGGGGGGTCCCTAAAATCAGACCACGTGTACAGGCCGTTTGATAGAGGTAAGTTTTGTAGACCAGCGAGATCAATGAAAGATACCCCTGATGAGCCCGAAGTGTCTAGAGAAGTCCAACCAATGTCTTGGGAGCTCCAAAGAGATTTGGTGATAATACGGTCTATTCTCTGGAGTTTTGTTTCTTGAAGGATGACGATGGTGGGATTGTGTTTGTTGATGAGGTTTTTTATCAAGACTAGCTTATCCCATGAGCCAAGACCCCTCACATTCCAAGAGAGAATAATTATCTGATAGAGGAGGTCCCACCAGGAGGCTGCCTTGTATG